AGACTTAAAGAAAAAGGAGGGGTATGACTATGACCAAACTTTCACTGCCAGTCACGGTTGGTTCAATCGTTTCAAGATGTGTGCAAACCTTCATAATGTGAAATTAAGTGGGGAGGCAGCCAGTGCTGATTCGAAAGCAGCAGAACCTTTCATAGAAGAACTGGATAAGCTGATAAAAGAGGGAAATTATTTTAATGTTGATGAGATAGGTCTCTTTTGGAAGAAAATGCCTGAATGTAACTACATACATAAGGAAGCAAAAACTATGCCTGGTTATAAGTCTTTCAAAGATCGTCTAACAGTCTTGTTAGGAGGCAATGTTTCTGGGTTTAAATTGAAACTCCTCTTGATTTATCGCTCTGAAAACCCTAGAGCCTTCAAGAATATCAGATAGGCTACTTTACCAGTCCATTATTGTGCTAATAAGAAAGCCTGGATGACGCTTGCACTTTTTGAAGATTGGTTCATGAACTGCTTCATCCCTGAAGGGAAGCCCCCCCCCTTCCCTGCATGGGGTTAAGGTTGCCAGGTGTGCAGTTTTCACCTGGACAGTCCAGCAATTGCATCTTCTGTCCGGTAAAAAAACAAAAACAAAACAGAAAATACTGTATTTTCCAACACCACATCTATTCTCCAACCCAGGGACTAGGGGGCCATAGCTTCTTTCAAAGCAAGGGGGCCATAGCTGCTTTCAAAGCATATTATCTTCGCAACACATTTGCAAAGGCAGTAGCTGCCACAGAATGCGCGAAAACGGCAAAACATTACGTGAATTTTGGAAGGACTACAACATTCTGCATTGCATAAGGAACATTGCTGCAGGGTGGGAAGAAGTCACTCCACAATGTCTGAATGGCATATGGAAGAAGATCCTAAAAAGATTTGTGAACTGTTTCAAAGGCTTTGAAAAAGAAAAGGCACTAGAAGACATTTCTAATAACATTGTACATCTGGCAAAAGAAGTGGATCTGGAAATGGATAATGAAGACATACACCAACTAGTTGAGGATGTTGGGGAGGAGCTGAGCAATGAAGATTTAATGCAGCTTGAGGCGGAGAGGATAGAAGAGGAAGAGAGACAAACAGCCCAAGTAGAAGAAACAGACGCCCCCAAAAACTTTGTGATGAAAGAAATGGCTGTAGCTTTCAACAAAATAAATGAAGGAATGCAAATGTTTGAAAAAACAGACCCTAATGTTGCGAGATTCTCAAAGGTGTATCGTTTAATTCAGGATGCCCTGGCTTGCTATAAGGAAATTTATAACGAGAAGAAAAAACAAACTGTCCAGTCCAATATGGTTATTTTTTTTTAAAGAATGTCCCCAGCAGTGTTGCCTCCCATACTGAACCAATGCCTTCTACAAGCAAAGGAACGTCTAAAATAGAATTTTTTTTACTCCTCCGATTCCTCCTCTAATTAATGCAATTCACATTACTGTATTTAAATTACTGCATTGTGTTTTGTATTTCATGTTCATGTTTGTTAAATAAAGTTTGCTGTTGCTGCAGTAGTGTTGTTTTTTTTGTGTGTTTCTATTTTTTGTTGTTGATTGCTGTGTTGTTGGTGCTTGGTTACACTTCGAGTGCTTCGTATGGGGTATTTCCAACTTACGAACAAATCGAGTTACGACCAGCTATTCGGAATGTTACCTGTTCATAAGTTGGGGAATGGCTGTATGTGCACACTCCCACTGAGCTAGATGTGCACTAATCCACAAAATAACATCCCATGTTATTGGACTAAATCATTACCTTCAACATTTTCCTCTATATCTTTTCAAAAGGACTGTGTATCCCTTGCTATGCTAACATGTCTAACTTCCCATCCTTGGGCAATACAAATACCCATTCAGTGACAGCATGCACATATGGAGGCAGCATCCTTTAGGAGTGGGCAACCTAAGGCCCGGGGGCTGGATGAGGCACCCAGCTTGCCTGGATCCAGCCCCAGAGGCTCAATGCTCACCCCCCCAGCACTGGGGAATCCACACTGGTGTTCCAGTCTCTTCTCTCCCCTCATCCCCCGCTGCGGGATTGGAGCGGGCAAAAAACGATTAGCCTGGGGCCCTCTAGGCTCTGGTGTGTGAAGGGAACGAGAAGAGTGTATCTCTCCTTCTCAGTGAGCATTTTTCTTGTTTTGCTTCCCACCTATGTGTGGCTCCCCAACTGATTTTTCAGTGGGTCGGCGGTGCCAGACCCAAAAAAGGTTCCCCACCCCTGCTTTACAGTAAAAGAGGGAGAGTTAAATTAAGTTAGAGGGTGGATTACGCTTTTAAAAGGAGGTGGACCTAACCTTACCTATGACTAATTTGTCACCACCCAACTGAGACTTAAAAAACACACACACACACACACACACACACACACACACACACACAGACAGACTAGCAGCATCTTAAATACTAACAAACCATGCAGACGGTATCATGAGCTTTTGTGGGCACAGCCCACTTCTTCAAATGACAGGAGTGCTAGAAGTTCAGATCCAAGGGACTTCTAACACTCCTGTCATTTGAAGAAGTGGGCTGTGCCCACAAAAGCTCATGATACCGTCTACATGTTTTGTTAGTCTTTAAGGTGCTATTATTCTATTGTTGTTTTTTAATTTTTTCCTGTTATAGACTAACTCGGCTACACCTTTGAAGCTTTCCTACTGAGATTGTGAGGCCATGATTCAGGTGACAGCTTGATGATCATCTGATCCTTATAAAAAACAATAGGGGTAACAGGTAATTCAGATTAGGTGGAGAGCTGCACGGGAGTAGGAAGGATCCAGCAGTAGTCCTCAGGTCAGGGGGAAAAGCCCAGTTTATATAAAACTCTCAGGCAGATGACTTGCAGAACAGTCTTCAAAAACCAGGCTAGGAATGAAAAGGGAACAGAGACGCTCACTCTGACTCTCAGGCAAATGACCATGTGTATGCATGTAGAAAGTAGATAGTCTCCTGAAGACAACCCTGGGTCAAATGGGAAAGGACATGTTTGATATATTTTCTGTTGTTTTCAAGTCCTTGAAGAAAACCAGAATCCTGTAGCTGGATAGGTGCATAGGTTGGTAAGTTTGCCTGCAGCTTACCTATTATTTTGTGCATTGCATTCTTGAAGTGATTCTAAACATTAGCAGAAGTGCACAGGAGCAAAACAGAGCTTGTGTGTCATAAAAGGCTACAAGAAGAATGTATGGTGGGCAGTAGGGATGTGAACAGGTAATGGTTGGTTACCCAGCACCTGATCACAGCCTAATATTTAATTGGCTAACTGAATAAATAGGATTTTCCATCCCTAATGGACAGTGTTCTCCGTAAGCTGTGCACTTGTGTGGCTGTACAAAAGAGATTCAGATGCCACCCAGATGATTAGCAGAGCGCCTACAGCTAGATTTGTTGTTTCTACTGGTGGTGCACATTCACTCGTGCCTTGGTGCACCTAAAAAAAAATCTTTTCCATACATAGATGGAAAAGATTAGAGGGATTATTAGTAGTGAATCCTGTAGTGTAGTCTTTATGCCGGTCCTATTTAGGCTAAAGTGGAGAGATCTGTGCTTCCATTGCTCTAGTGGCCCTATGAATAAGGGCAAGAGGCAGAGAAGAACTGCAGCTACTACACCAGCTTGGGCTGAAAGGCTTCCTCTAAAGCACTGTCTCATGAACAGACAGTGGACTTTGCTTCCAGCCTGGCTTAATGATGTGGAGTAAAATTCAATACTGAATTAATTCCATATTAAACAGAGCACAATAAAACAAAAGCAGCTAACACCAAAAGAACTTGCACTGAAATAGCACCGCAAGGGATTGTTGAAAAATAACACATTAATGTGGACTATCCATCTTGCAATATTGCTAACTCCAGAACTATTCAAAAATTGTAAGTCTGAATCCCCAAAAGTGAAATTGGCTTAAGAGTCATCATGAGATTTTAAATAAAAGATTGTTTTGCAATCTAGTTTTGAGACTAAGGTTTTCAGTTTCAAGTGTTTCTCCACTAAATATCTATGAAGGCTAGAAACATAGCGTTTGTTTGTGTTTTAAAAGAAGGTTGAGATTTGCAAACAACATGACTCCTAGAAGTAAAGCTTTAAGAAAGCCTACACCAATTATCATGAGATTTAGCAACACTGATCTTCACACACTACACATTAAGGACTGTAACCACGTGGAACTTGGGTTATATTTTAGTGATTGTGCACTTTAAAACAAAAAGAGCAAAATTACAAAGATTTTACCTGTGTCCCGGGTGTTCTTACATGAAAAATATACTCAGAGGCTGTAAAAACTCAAACAACTAAAAAAAAAAAAGTGGCTATCAAAATGCTAACATTCAAAATGAGTTAACATTTAAGTTCTCCTTGACTTTGTTACGGAAGAACTTCAGATTTACAGACACCTTGGGTTTAGAGTTTATGCAGAACTTTAAAATGTCCATAATTTTGAACAAGAGGTTACAGATTTCAGCTGCTGAGGGAAGTTGGGGGGAGTGCCAGAGCCTCTGTCCCTTGGGAGCACCAGGGCTCAGAGCTTTAGATCTAGGGGGAGCACTGGGATGTATGAGGGGTTTTAGGCTTTAGCTACACAGGTATGTGGGGAGGAGAAGTAGGGCTGAAACCAGCGCTTCCCTCATAGTTAAGCCCCAAGCCCCTGCGCTCCTCCTTGCCCACCAGGACTGAAGCCAGGAACAGAGTCACGTGGCTGAAGCTCCAACTCCAGTGCTTGTGATCAGAAGCCTGACCTCCACTCCCTACCTGGGGCCCTGATCCACATCGTGCAGCTGCAACCCCAATCGCTGCCCGCTAAAGCCCTGAGGCACTGAAGTATTTGCTTTTGGGAGTGGGGAGTGTCTCCACAGCAACCAGCTTACTTCCAGTACCACAAGATGTCCAGTTGATTGGTATGGTGTTTGTATCTTTGAGGTTCTACTGTACTTTGTCCATATAAGAAAGCTGCTACAATAAGATTAACAGCCAATTTGTAAGCCAATATTACATTTCAAAGAATATACTTACAAATTCATAGTCTCCATCCTGCGGCACCTTCCAATCAGAGGAATTCTTTGTCTGGCCAGATGCATTCTTTCCAAAGCTACTGATCTGATTCTCCTTTTCTTTTTGTTCAAAATATTCCAGGAATGATGGTTTGGCTGGTTGCATTGTTTCATCCATCCCTGGAAATATTTAAAAAAAAAATGTGAACACAATGGTCACTTCTGTAAAAGACAAAAACTAGAGCATTAAATGTTAAACAAAACAATCTGTCCCAAGCAATTAGATTACTAACAACAATACTTGGTGCTGATAAATTACCATTTGGAAAGCACTAAACAAATAGCTAATCCGTGTACCACTAATGTGAGAAGTATTATTCCCCCTGCTTCTGTTTCCTTATCTGCAAGAGAGGTTAAGATCACAAAGCAAGTTGCATCCGAGCCATGATTAGAAGTCCCGAGGTTCTGATTGTTGGACCTGTACTGAGTCCACCAGACCACACTGCTAAGTGACTTACCAATATGCACTAGAAGCTGCAAAAAGACTTCAGCCTGCTGGAAGCCAACTTATTTATTACAAACTAGGTTGTGTGCATTACAAAATAGGCCCAGAAAAGAATGAGGAGGAACGATTAATTTTGTAAGGTGCACGTGGGGTGGAGGAAAACGGATTTTATACCAACACTTGTTTTGATAGGCTATTTCCCTCAGTAAAATACAGGTTCTCTTACTAGGTCACACAAGTGCCTCATCGTTTTGTCATCCCACTTTTCACATCTCAGAACACCAAGCACATGCCCTACCCATCAAACTTTCCATTATGAGACCTGCTGGGTTCCATTACACATTCTTTAGAGGAATCATTCTCTAAATAAAAGAAGAGACAAGTGGACTTGAAGGGCATGATGCAGTAGAGGTCCAGTAGAAGTCCAGTTTTGCCAAGGAGAAGACCAGATGGACTGTTTCATTAGATTGGATTAGAAACGAATATAGTAGCATGCCCTGCCTTTCTTCAACCACAATTACATTTGGAATGTGGTCTGTGCAGGGTGGGGGCACTAGGGAAGCTGTGGCATCTCCCAGCTTGTAACAGTAAATAAACCTCAAATATATGGTTTCCTTCATCAGCACCCCAATATAAAAATTGTTCCAGCACCCTTGGATCTGCAGACGGTGAAGCATGAATTCACCCCACCAGTCCTCTCTAGTACAGTCACACCTGCTCATCTTACATCAATAGCAGAAGCGAGTGACCATACATTAAATTAAGAAACTGATGTTGTTGGAAGCACAAATGTGATCAGAGGTAAAGATGAGGTACACTCTAGGAGGATCTCAACCTTCCTCCGTTGGAGAATCATTAGGATGCCATGTGGGTTATGGTTTGGGGGAGAAAAGAAAAATTTGAACAGATTGTAGCCTCAAAGCCCCTCAGGAGAAAAAAAAAAGACAATACAAAAACTGTTGTAAGTAACAAAATGCTAGAAGTTTCCATGTGGATTCTGACAGCATAAAAGGATATGACTGTCAAATTTAAGACATACATGTTAGTGCAACTGGTTCAGTTTCAGATATCTAAAATGTACTCATATTTACATCCACCATGACAAGCTAGATTTAATGCAGGTAATACTTTCTACAGAGTCTCAGCATAAGAAAATATACTTGTACAGAATAGTGTTGCAGCAAGCTACATTTTAGGATCATGAAAGCTGAAGCTGTATTTACAAAGATTATTCACAGCTAAATGCAATATTGCTTTCATTTATGATAAATTGCTGCATATGGTTTTTTGAAACAAAATACAACGTCAACTAACTTATTCTGAATACCGTTTTCAAAAGGGAATGTTATTTCATTGTGATAAAAACAGTTTTCTTCATAATACAATAAATCTATCACGTCTAAGCACATTTTTAGCCATTACAGGAGTCAAGTTTTACATTACCATAAAATCCAGCAAACTCAAACTCAATTTTATACAACAGTTACTGTAGGTCAAGTGCTAGCACAAATGGCACCAAAATTAGCCAAACATAAGCCAGGTCTAGAGTCTGTAGTTAAGGTTACACCACCAAGTGCCATACAGATGAATAAAGTATAATTGCCAAATCTAATAAAAATTAGGGTTAAAAATATACAATAGTCTCAAGTTATTTTCCAGATGTCTGTAAGGCAAACTCTGGCAAAGAGTTTCCATTTAGGAAATATGAATGTCAAAAGTCTAAACAAGCTTGTCAAAGGTCTCCATTTTCCAAGAGACTTCATGCTATTAACTGGTGCTTTGCTTTTGACAAAATAATGGTTACTCTGGAAATGCTTGCATGTCTAGTCACAAAATATTATTCTTTCTAGTTAAACTGACATCTTGTATTGTAAGATCTTCATTTCCAAATTTTAGCTAATTAATAGATATAATGGTTTGAATCCCTGAATCATCATAAGATATTTTAAGGACATCTTGTGTGTTTACAGAAGTGTTAAATAGAGTAAAGTGAACTTCTATAAAGCAATAAGATATTTTAGCATGATCCTTGGTATCTGATACTGAAAGAGACAGAAGGATGGCTGTACAAAAAATTAAGCATCACTACATCAAATATCTTATAGCCGTTCCTGAGCCAGAAAACAGCTGACGGATGAAAAATGCTTCTACATCTGCATCATAACAGATGTTAAGACAAATTATTGTCTTCTACTGCTGGCAATAGCTTCCTTTAAAAAAAAGCCTCATTGTACAGAATCAAATCAACAAAGCCACCTTCAGACTTGCAGCATGAAGGTCAGTCGTGTTTGCAAAGTTAAGAAATAGTGTGCTATTGGGAATAATTACTCAAGTAGTATAGAAATCAAATTACCACTGCCGTGACAAAACATTTATTTGGTGAGTGAAGCTCTTCCACATATACCCACTCTGTGCAACCCCTCTATGCCACTGCAAGTACAGTAATTCCTCATTTAACACTATAGATGCGTTTCTGAAAATGTTTGTGCTAAGGAAAAACGTGCTATGCAAGGTCAATTTTCCCATTAAAAATAATGTAAAAGGTGGGGATGCGTTTCAGGTGGTCGTGGCAAAGTCAATTTTTTGTTGGTGCTGGATCGTCAACGTCAACATTAGATATCTAGCAACACAAGTCACCACGGTTTGTTAAAACACAAAGATAAACATGTGAGTGAGCAGAGGAGCGCTGTGACCATGTGTATTCATCCACTCATGTGTATTACCACTGTTTTCACCAACTTATATCGCTGTGCGAAGTAGTCCGCCACTTGATTATTTTTTGTGTTATTTCGGGGACAGTCATGTTATTCAAAAATCGTTCCCTAAAAAAATCGTGCGATTGCAAAAATGTGTTAAGCAGGCATGGTTAAACAAGTAATTACTGTACAGATAGAAGATGAACGTTATAAAGGTTATAGTCCAGTGAGTCTCAAACATTTTTTATGAACCATTTGAAAATGTTTGAGGTTCTCGGCAGACAGTTTAACGATCTTTCCAAATATTGTTTGTACCATTAGATAAAAGTGCTATCTTAAAAAAACAAAACAAAAAAACAAAAACAAAAAAAACCCACACAAACACAAAAAAACCCCAACACCTTAACAACTCTTTTTTGTTCTTTAAATAAAAGCAGCCAACTCATATTTTAATATCAGCAGGGGTCTCTCCCCTGCCACACCAGACACAGAACTGAGGCCGGAAAGGAAGACCATCTCTTCCCAGCAGCCAGAGCTCTGAAAGCTGGTTTTAAAAAAATCGCCTTTTTCTCTGGCCACCACAGCCCTACATGTCCCAAATTCCCCCACTCCCCCCTTCTCACTCCACTCCTTCCACCTATTCCTCCCACCTCACACCACTACACCTATTCCTCCCAAAGCCACCACTTAATCTTACATGTAGGGTCCAGGGTTCAGGCACCTAATTAGTGGAGCCTAGGGATGTTAAATTTAGTTTAATCAACTAATTGACCAGTCGATGGAATTTCCATTAATTAGTGGTTTAGTCAATAAGCGGGGGAGCCACAGCAGAGTTAGCTCCTGGTCCCAGGAGCTAACTCTGCTTCAGCTTTGCCTTCTAAAAGTATTAAGAGCCAGGAGGCTCTGAATACATGTAAAAGGCTAATCAGCTGTCCCAGCTCATGCCAGGTTACCCCCCACACTGCGCCTATGCTTTTTAAATGTAGTAAGGTTCCTACTAGCTCTCAATACATTCCAAAAGCAGAGGTGTAGTGTCTCGTCCCTGCCGCCTCCACTGCCCCCCGTGGAGACAATGCTGGGGAGAACCGTCTTTTAAGCCGGCTCCCCCAGCACCAGTTCCTGCTCCTTCCTACTTGCTGCCTCTGATAGAGGCAGTGGGGAAAAGAGGGGGGACTAGTCAAGGGACTACCTGACCATCCAATAAGCTTATGCTTATCGGATAGTTGACTGGTTGCTTTCATCCCTAGTGGGGTCACTCCTGCAAGACTAATTAGGTAGGCAGCCCTTCATTCTCTCATGTGCAACTGCCCAGGTGTGCACCCCAAGGGAAACTATCCATGGACCACCTGAATGGAGCTCATGAACCACAGTTTGAGAACCTCTGTTACAGTCGATGAATACACAGGAACATTTTATGAGATGAGATGGAATTTTGCAGAACAAGAATGAACATATGTTGGACAATCCAGGATAGTAAACAAAAAGGGATTTAAGGGGCCTAATCTGAATAGCTCCACCTGAAGACAAGTTGAAGGGAAGGTGGGCTATACTATACGGGCATATCTAGTGAAGATCCAAGAGTTATATCAATAAGATCTCTCTTGACAGAAGATGTCTAAGGGGGAGACCAAAGACTGTGGACTCCAGAGAGACTAAATCGGCATGAAAGCCTGGTGAAAGATGATGAATTTTGGAAGAAGGTTACAAGCGTTGCCAACCAACCCCCAAAAAGAGAAATGGCCAGAAAGAAGAGGCAGCAGCATGAATGCACGCAGACAATACTGTATAGTCTGGGTATGTCTTTTAAAATCTACCTTATGATGAACAGTCAAATTAGTGCTTAAGTGTTCTTTTAAAAAAAAAAGTCCATTTAGCTGCTCCTTTACATAGAGTACCATCTGATTTTCATAAACTTATAAAAATTAACAGGGCTGTCAATTAACGCGCATTAATACTTACCGAGTAGATCAGCTGTATGA